GGAGAAGCATTAAAGACTTTCTTACATGAAGGGGAGGAAATTCCTAAAGTGGACAAATAAATATTCAAATTTAATCTAAAGAAAACCATGCCAAGTGACGACTGTACCATTTTAGGCCAACCTGAAATAGCCATGTTGAATATCACCAGGGCCAAATGCTGCTGCTTCAGTTCACTGTGTACCATGAATGGTGACACCATGGCTGCCACACAGCAGCTACATAGACTAACAGTAGGAAATTTAACCTATGTAATTGACCAGGTCCAAATTGACGATGGTTGTATGGACATGACTTGCAATTTGATTTTCCATTACGTGGTAGTTGCTGCCTTGCTATCCCTAGATATTTTTTTTTATCATTGCCTTAAGGAACCCCTGCTTATCCAACTGAAAAAAGTGTGACTAGTTTGCTTAAGATATTAAAAAATAAATTTATTTTTAAATCATAAAAGTAAAGAGCCATGTCACAGAATAGTTTGGAAGTGAGAAAAAATTACCCAGTTGTTGTCTTATTGGTAGATATCATCTTAGTTTTGTACGTAGTTATAATTAGAGTATATGTACAGTTTTATACTCTGATTTTTCATTCCATATTGTAATCACTTTACCATAATGCTTCGTAAAATGAATGACACTGCTTCATAATGATGATTTAGTGGTGGCCTAAAACTTAGTTAAGCGGATGAACCATAATGACATAACCATTTTCCTATTGTGAGACCTTTAGTCACAAAACCTCTACCCCTACCCCTACCCCCACTGCCAGCTTTTTGCCATTTTAAACTATAATTACTATCTTCATATTTTTTAGTTCCTTCCCTATTTTGGGTAATTCTTTACTGTAAATGTCTAGAAGTCAGATTCCTGGTGGGCAGGAAAGGGTTCACTCAGCAGATTGGGGTCACTCAGACCATGCACTTGCCCAAGACAGGGGGGTTTTCATGACTGCCTCTTGCCTGGCTCCTGGGAACTGAGCTCTTGGAATATTCTGACTAATAAGAATGTGTTGCTTGCCTGGGGTCTTGAGCCATGCTACAACAGTTTTTCCAGGTGGGTTCTAGTAACAATGTGATTCATGGTGAACACCTACTTTCCTTTTCTGGGTGTGGAGCTTCAGTAACTGAGGTCAGTCCTGCAGGCACTGTATGTATCTGAGACTGACCCCCAATAAAAACCCTGGACAGCCAGGCTCAAGTGAGCTTCCCTTGTTGACAACACTTTGCATGTGTTGTCACACATCATGGCAGAAGGAATTGAGCACGTCCCGTGTGACTCTGCTGAGAGGAGACTCTTGGAAGCTTGAGCCTGGTGTCCTCCAGACCGTGCCCCATGCACCTTTTCCCTTTGAGGTTTTACTCTATCCTTTTGCTGTAATAAACTGCAACTGTGAGTACAACTTCTGGATCTTCTGAGTCCTTTTAGCAAATCTTCAGGCCTGAGGGTGGTCTTAGAGACCCTGACACACCTGGCCTGTTGGCATTCAGTTGCAGATAAAGGAAATTACTCTAGCTGGATTAAGCAACAAGTGTTGATTATCTTGTATTTTGTGGTTTCCAAAATTGTTGGAATGGCTGAAAAAGTAGAAGGAGCTTCCAGGAACAATTTCTACCCAGCAGTTCTCTGCTTCTGCCAGAATCAGAAACCCCCAAACCAAGAAGCTGCTTGCTATAAAAGCACGCTGCATTGCATCTTGCCTTGCCCTCCTCTTAACTCAGTTCTGAATCCAGGCATATGAATGAGAGAACTTAAATCGTGCCTGGAACTGTAGCTGGAAGGGCATCTGGAAATGTAGCATTTCACGTCTACAGTGCTCAGAGACACAAGAAGGACATTAGAATTTCTGCTGAGTGAGCCAGTCCACAGTGTCTAACACATTGTGTTAAAGGGTAAAAACATTTTAATATTTCTTGATACACACTGCCCAACTGCTTTCCCAAAAGGTTGGAAAAATTCACAATGGCAACAGCAACAAGTGAGGCTCCAGTTTTCTATGCTTTACAGTATGAGGGAAAGCTAATCTCACTGGATGGAGATGAACACTGAGTAATAAGGGACAGCCTGATCATCTCATGTGTTCTCTCCCTCTTCCCTTCTCTAGCTCTGTTTTTCTTGGAAGAAACAGATTTCTATAGATTGTGGTTAGAGGTAAACCCCTCTTGAAAGCTGGGGATTATAAATCAACTACTCTAAGTTGGTTACTTGAAAACAAAAACAAGGCACTCATTTATATAGTGCTAGTTAAGCAATTCTGGTTATTGTTGAAAACTATTGAATAAAATAAGTAGAAGACTTACTTTACTTTTATTTTTATAAATCTCTCCAATTTACACTTTCCTCTTTCTTTTCTCATTTGACGAATTGTCAGGTTCCTCATCTCAACCTTCCTCCAGGTCCCGTGTCTCTCCAATCTCTCTTTAATAACTACCACTGGTTGCCTCACAAATAGGGATTTGGGCTTGGAGCTGGCTGATCTGATTTGAGCTTTGAGGTGAGATTTTTTGCTCAAGAATTTTAGCTGCTGGAAAATGTGACATCTCACCCAGATCTCAGGAAGATGATAACTATGATGGAGATGTTTTTATACACAAAGGATGGTCTACATGACAATGGCATAAACTTCCTAATTCTTTTTTTTTTTTGAGGAAGATTGGCCCTGAGCTAACATCTGTTGCCAATCTTTCCTCTTTTTCATTTTTCTCCCCAAAGCCCCAGTACCTAGTTGTATATCCTAGTTGTAGGTCCTTCTAATTCTTCTATGTGTGGGACGCTGCCTCAGCATGGCTTGATGAGTGGTATGTATGTCCGTGCCCAGGATCCAAACTGGCGAATCCTGGGCCACCAAAGCGGAATGTGTGAACTTAACCACTATGCCACGGGGCAAGCCCCCTAAACGTCCTAATTCTTTTTTTTTTTTTTTTGAGGAAGATTGGCCCTGCACTAACATCTGTTGCCAATCTTCCTCTTTTTCTTTTTTCTCCCCAAAGCCCCAGGACATAGTTGTGTATCATAGTTGTAGAGTTGTAGCTCTTCTATCTGGGATGCCACCTCAGCATGGCTTGATGAGCAGTGAGCAGGTCTGTGCCCAGGATCCGAACCGGCGAACCCCAGGCCACCGAAGCAGAGTGGGAGAACCCAACAGCTGTGCCACTGGGCCGGCCCCTAAACTTCCTAATTCTTGAAAGGAACTTATAAGTTTACAATTACTGGATCTTGGAACACTATGGTAATTTGTTACACAGTAATCGAAAACTAATACAGGATATTTATGATACATTGTCATAATGAGATCCTGTTCTTTTCTGTATTACATGTATATGCATAGAAAAACATCTAAAAGGTTGGATGACAAATGCTGACAGCAGTTATCACTGGGTGATCAGATAGCAAGTGGCTTTTACTTTATTCCTTATGCTTCCTGGATTGTTTGAAAATTTTACGATGAGCATATTTTACTTTAATAATCTGATGGGAAAAATAAAGATCTGACAACGTGAGAGAGAAAAACCATTAAAAAAGTATATCCTAAGTACCTCAAAGGGGTGTAGATTTATATTACATAACTAATAAGAATGTGTTTTTATAAATTGTGTAGTATTATGAAAATACAACGTAGCAAATTTTCTAAGTCTCTTAATTCCCCTCCTTACTTAGAATTAATAGGTCTGATGCCTTTAGGTGTGTTTAATTTCAGAATTTTATTTTACAGGGATTTCTGTGGCATACCATAATGTCTATGGTGCTCTTACTGAAAATTACTTATAACTGCCAAATTCTAACAATTTTTGCAAGAAGCTCTCATTAAATTTTCCTGAAAACAGAAAAAGCTCACATTGTATACTACATTGAACTTTATTTTCTTACACTTTCAAAATAATTTACTGTAAAATGTTAATTTCAAAGAAAATTTATGGGAAATTATTAAGCAACTACAGAGTTCTTTATAATAAAATCCAGGATAAAAATAATTTTTTGTAGGTTGAAAATTTATCAAAAGGTCTAAGTGGATTACAAATATATTTTAGCAATCTGATGGATTTAAGGGTACTTTAAAAGTTGTCTAGTTAAATTACTGCAGACATGACATTTGATGAAATCTATTCTGTAAGTCTAACACCAATGATCATTTCTTCCTGCTAAAACATAAAAATAATTTATCTGAAAAATCCATAAGTACTATGAAGAGTTTGATGACTTCATAAAGATTCTTTTATAACTCGGGCTAATCTCTCGAAAGCCTAAAATAGAAACGAGATAAGAATGAATGAAATTAGGATGCTACTCAGGAAAAGTCTGTTTTAACTTTAAAAATTCAAACAAAGAGTATCCATCTTAGGTTGAAATAAAGCAATTAAAAGTCAAGTTTAACATCAGCTTTATCTGGGTCAGATGCCATCAATGTCCATTAGTAGTATGTGCAGATATAAGCATATCAGATTCCCAGGATTTTTTTTTTTTTATTCTTATAGCCCTCAAGACCATCATTTTCTGTTTTCCACATAACACAAATTACTTTATTTTTTCACATAATTTCTCACCTGCATATGTATTCTATAGTTTTAATTGTCCAACTCTATTCAAGTATAAAAGCAGAGAGAGCTTATGAAAAGCACATTGAATGACATGAGAAAGCAGGAAATAGAGAACACACCAAGAAACTATCCACCTGCCAGAATAAGTATAAACTCTTTTCAAGGTTAATGGCATTGTTCAATTTATGGCTTTTCTGTTTGGCTTCCCAGGCACATCGTCCTTAGGAACTTACTTCTTTGCTTTTTGTTATTTTTGGTTAAACCTAGATTATGTGATTATTTTAAGAATATTATTCTATTTGACCCTTGCTGATAATTTTTCTTCAGAGAAAGAGACTAATGCCTATCAAGAATTTGTACTTTTGGCTCCTGTTAATTCCATGAAGGAAGGAAAGAGGTTTCTTCATAACATGTTGGTAATCCTACTAACACTGTTCAGTAGGTCTGCAAACTATTCGTGAAAACAATAAAATTTACCTCCAACTTGGTCTCATGCATTTGTCTATTTGCTACCATTAACACGTATCTTTTAGTGGTAATTCATGACTTTTTAACAAATATTTGTTTTTCAGAAACCCAAGGAGACATTAAATAATGTTGTAACTTACAAAATGAACACATGCACCAAATCTAGTGTTACTGTGAAGAGAATATTGTACTCACCACATCCATCTGTTCTGGAGAAGCCAGTGAGAAGGACACTCTAAAGTAAGGGCTAGGAGCTGAATTATCAGTGTAGAAAGCATTTCCAGGAACTACTAATACCTAAGAGAGTTTGTGGAAAATAAGTGAATTACCATTAAAGAAAAACTAAGAAAAAAATAGGTAAATCTAATCTCAGAGTGGGGAAGGACTTTTAAAGTTTAAAAGCAATTAAAGAAATCACAAGGGAAAAATCGATTTCTATGAAAATTCTGTATTGTCATACAATAAACAAAACAAAGCATAGAAACTGGAAAAATGTTTACAATAAATATGGCAAATGCTACCTCTTCTCCATATATGAAGAATGCACAGAAATTGAGAAGAAAAACACTAATTCTAGCTTTACTGGGGAAAGGGCAGCTTACAAAAAAAATAGAAATTGTAATAAACATGAATAAATGTTTAAACTAACTAGAAAAGTCATGTAAGTTCAAACAATGAGATACCATTTTTAAGATATCAAATTTGGAAGTGACTTTTAAGCTGGGACCTGAAAGATAAGTAGGTGTTGACCAAGCAGAAAGTAGGGGAAGAGTATTTTAGGGGGAAGATACAGATTGTAAAGGCCCTGAGATGGGAAGAAAATTGGCCCCCTCAAAGAACTGAAAGAAGATAAATTTAATACATAAAGTGAAGGAATAACAATGTTAGGTAAGTGTGTCAAGGTGGACTAGTGGGAATGACTGCTATTCTTGATGACTACTGTGGCAGACAGCTCACTGTTGCAAAGTACATTTCCTCTGCTTCCTGGGCATACAAATATATTCTATTCCCAGCCTCTTTCTAGTTGTATGTGACCACATGACTGAATGCTAGCCAAAGGATGTGAAGTCATGTATGCGGACTTCTAAGTCCTGGCCCACAAAAATCTTCCCATATGTAATCCACCATGCTCTTTCCATTTTGTAGCCATTGTGGAATCTATGTGTTGAAGATTGAAGAGGAAGAAGATGGAAGGAACTAGAGTCTCTGAACGACTGCTTGGTGTAGAGTTGCCTACAGATCACATCTTTGAAAATTTTATGTGGGTCAGAAATAAACTTGGATTATGTTATAGTCTTTGTTATCTAGTATAATCATGATATTCAAAAGCATTAAGTAACTGCTTGTTGATGCATGGTATAAATCTGGGTACTGTCTGCTAAGATAAGGTGAGTTGGGAGTGAAGTGATTTGGGGTACTCTGGGGAGAAGATTTCAAGGCAGAAGATGGGTTTCTGTGTCCTGATTAACATTAAAATGAAAATCATTTCTCCCAATATAGTGGAAAAGTTTGGGGATGTGCTAGAAGCAAGTTGCTGTAAGAGAGGAAGAGAGTGGTAATAATCTCTTTGCAAGAAGACCAAAATCTGGGCTAAGGCAGTGGTGATAAAGTTGGAGATTATTTGGAAAAAGTAAAGATAGATGCAACAGGATATATGGGATGAATGAAGAGGACTCAGAGAACTACAATAAAATCTGAAGCCTATATCCTTAGCACCTAGCTCAGAGATACGTACAAATAGCCACTTATCAAATGTTTTTGATGATAATGGCATTGATAGAAAAGCAGAGAAAGTATTAAATTGATTTATTATACTAAAATGTATTTCTTTGAAATAAGTCAGTTTTTATTAAGTACCTACTATGTGCTGTTAGTAGGATTAGAACAAGTAATAAAACATGAGTCCTGCCCTCAGGTGAGAAGGTTAGAGGGGATGAGTGACTTTCCCAGGGAAGTGGAGCTAGCACTGTGGTCTAGCCAGTCAGTTTCCAGGTCTAACCTCTAGACCACCTAGTCTCTTATGGATAAGTATTGTGCTTTGCCAACATCAACACAATCTATTCTTTTGTACTTATTGCTTCAAGACAAAAGTGATCCTAGAAACAGATCTTAGTGTTTACCAATGACTGACAGACATGATAAAGGTATCAATCAATAGAGAAAGGATAATTTATTTGGTAAATTGGAAAGCTACACAAAAAAATCTTTAGATTTCTCAGCTTAATCAATGCCCCTGAAAGAAATCTAGGTAGACTTATGATATAAGTACAAAAGGAAAAAAATACCCTAGAAGAAATCCTCTTGGGCTAATTTTAAGTGAAAAAAGCAGGATACAAACTTTTCTGTGCCATTTTAACCATGCAAAATAATTGCACAGCTAAAATACCAGGTATATACAAGCTCTTCAAGAAAATATACCACAAATCGTCACACAATCTGGGTGGTGAAATTATGGGCTATTTAAAAAATATTCATTATACTTTTATGCATTTTCCAATTTTGCTACCACAAGTATTCTTTACTTTCATAATCAGGAAAAAAAATCCTTCTATTTTAAATACTAATGGCTAATATTTAGTGAGCAGTTACTATGTGCCAGGTGTTAGTCTAAGTGCTTTATACTATTAAGTAATTGCATAATAACTCATCATAGCAACCCTATAAGGGAGGGATTCTTATCTCTATTTTACAGAGAAAATTCAGCCTGGGTGAGGCCGGCCCAGTGGTGTAGTGGTTTGGTTTGCGCCCTCCACTTCAGCAGCCCAGGGTTCGCGGGTTTGGATCCCAGGCGTGGACCCACGCACCACTTATCAAGCCATACTGTGGCAGGAGTCCCACATGTAAAGGAGAGGAAGGTGGGCACGGATGTTAGCCCAGGGTCAATCTTCCTCACAAAAAACAAAACAAAACAGCGAGGGTAACTTACTCAAAGCCACACATCCAGTAAGGGGTGGAGCTGGGATTCAAATCCAAGGAGTATGGTGCAGACACTGTGCTCTTAGCCACTAAGCCCATCAGTAGCTGAGATGAATGACTCAATTTCCATTAATTTAGACCAGAAGAATAATTACGTAACCCCAAAATCGATCGTGATTTTAATGAGATAACATATCTGATATTAAAACATGAGTTGGGGTGGTGGGCAATGATAAACATCTCTTGCCATTTTTATTTAAGAAATTACTTTAAAGAAAAAGTATAACTTTTCCTCCTGTTTTACCTCTTTCTTAAGGGCTTTTTCTTCCATCAGATGTTTTACATCATTAATGCCCTTGACTTTAACCCATAAAAACATTCCAGCAGTAGGAACATGCCATTCTGCCAAACCTACGAACAAAAGAAGAGAATAAATATCTCCCAAAGGAATTTTTGATTAATGCTTAATGACATAATTGCAGTAACTGTAAACTAGTAGTTCCAAAAAAGTTCCTTCAGTAATACCATTTTTAAAAAATATAACCTTAAGGAGCCAGCCCAGTGGCGTAGTGGTTAAGTTCACGTGCTCCGCTTCAGTGGCCCAGGATTCGCAGGTTCGGATCCCAGGCGTGGACATACGCACCGCTCATCAAGCCATGCTGTGGTGGGCGTTCCATATATAAAAAATGGAGGAAGATGGGCACGGATGTTAGCCCAGGGCCAATCTTCCTCAGCAAAAAAGTGGAAGATTGGCAACAGATGTTAGCTCAGGGCTAATCTTCCTCACCAAAAAAAAAAAAAAAAAACTATATATCTATATATCTATATCTATATACTCTTAAAATTATATCTATATATATCTGCTACTGCTATCTATATACTCTAAAATTACATCTATATATAGATATAATTTTATATTATATCTATTTATATCTATATAGATATAATATATCATAAAATTATATTTATATATTTTATATCTATATCTATAGATATAGATATAATTTTAAGAGTCCTGAAAGTTGATGTTCTGAGTTTTATTTCAAAAAGTGAGTGAGTGAGAGGGTACGAGGGAGGGAGGGAGACGTGTGTATATTTACAATTTCAGTCTTAGGGAAGTGCAAGAAATCGATCGAGTGCCTATGTCTACCTCCCTTAGTTAGAATCAGACTTAAGACAAATATGGCTTTCAATTTTAGAAGAGGATTCTTCAACTCTTTCTAGATTCTTCCAGTGTTTCAATAAATCCCATGATTTATGTAATACTTTAGAAGTCCAATGGATTAGAGTTTTTATCAAGATGTAATTAATTATGAAAAGAAGTACTTAAAATTCAAGAACTCCAGGTGTGCTTGTAGGCTTTATATTTCATTGAGTATTAGGATAGAGAAATCAAGAAGGAAGGATAATTGTTTTGATTTTAATTATCTTTTTTAAAAAAATGTACTCTTGATTAAAACCTTTTCTTCAACTCCACTATACAAAGTAGTAGAATAGTACTCTTATAAAAAAGATGATATTTTGTTTTTACCAAGATTTTATAGGGAACAAGATATGACAGAAATAAGGAACTGATATTTTTTGTTTACTATCATTCATACCAAAGGAACTTTTAATGATATAATTAAAGCCATGTAATCCATTTGGACTTTCTCCCTTAATAGAAAAATTAAATCTAAATGATCCTGCAAGCAAATTAGCAATAGATAATATTAGACACATAAATGAGGTTAATGATTAGAAGGCAAATAATCTGTAGTGAGAAATCCGCCTTAGATTGCACTATTTGTCTTTATACAGCCTGGTTAGAAAAGGAGGATGTTGTTTGACAATTCCTCTTTTATTTGGAGCAAAATTTTGAAATAACTGTAAAACCTTTTGGGTATAGATGTTATTTAGCTTTAAGGAAGTTATTGCTGGTTGATTTTTAGACTAATTTTTCTTTCTTTTTTTTTTAACCACAAATTCTTTGCAGCACACAGTAAAGTAGAGATGGGTACAATTGTGCAAGGGTTTGCAGACTGTTACTTCTGAGATGATTTATAGGGTAACATTTTCTTGACAAGAATACTCCTAGACCCTTGTTTCTTTCCCCTGGGATTATTAACAATCCTATGCAGTGTCTATCACCCACTCATACAGCTGCTACTGCTCATCACCGGACAGGGTGTACGTTCCACTCACCACTTAACCACTTGTCTGCAGCTGCCAACACCGCATCCTTCTGCTTCCTATAGAACTCAGTAACCCTAGAAGAAAAAAACAACAAAAAGCATGTGTTTATTCATTTATTGCAGAAACTAAAAGGCTCTGGAGTCCAGTTGTTAAAAATCTGTTTTCTATCTTGACTCAAATGTTGAATGCTTGATAAGGGAATAGAGCATATTTATTCGAGCTGTCTGATGGTAGACTTTTTACCATTGTCTTTTTTCCTTTATTGTGGAACAATTCAAAAATGAAAATTAGTAAAGCAAAGTCTACTTGTATGTAAAATATGGAACCTAAAATACCTCTCTACATGAGCCAGGAAGCCCTCTTCTCCCCATTGGTGCAGAAGCTGTAATATCAAAATCTAAAAGAGAAAGGACAATAACAGATGTCATGGTTCATCCTCTAAAATGTGTTTTTTGCCAAACGTAAAAGCAAATCACTCTTGATTATGTGTAAACCACCATAAGGAAATAGAACAAGCTGAAACAAGCTTTATATAGTCTGTGATTTATAATAAACATTAATTAATAACAATAAAAAGAAAAAATATTTACATAGTACTTGCTATGTGGCAGAAACTTTTGTAATATGTTAATATATTTTAGCTAATTTAATCTTCATAATAACCTTATTAGGCAGGTTATTATTTCTATTTTACTCATGAGGAAACAGAGGTACAAGGGTTAAGTTAACTTTCTCAAGGTCACACAACTAGTCACAGAGCCTTGATTCAAGTCAGACTGTCTAGCTCCAGATCCATGCCATTAATTACCATATTGTACTGCCTCTCTAAATATAAAAAATATATGGTAGATATATAAAGTTATATAATATATTTGGAGATTATTCTATCTAAAATGAAAGTTCTAAATGTTATAAATGGATAGTGAAGTTTTGTTGATAACACATATAAAAATATGGAAAAAGTCCTCAACTTGATAAAACATGAGGATATCTACTCTTAATGGAATGTACAAAATCTAACAAATGTGCTATTCTAAATAAACTTTTCTATGCATTTTAAGTTGTTAGGTAGCAATTCTGTCTTGATTCTCAAGATTGCATTTGGGATGGATCCATTAATTTCTCAAAGCTTGTGAGGAAATTTATACATTCTCCAGAATTAATTAAAATACATTCCACCTAGTGTCTTTAGGAAAGGTTAGCACATGTGCAATGAAAGCAAACAGTGAGTCACTAGACAGGTTTGTAATTCTTGTTCTCATTGTAGATTCCAAGACAATGAAGCTCAAGTCATATGGCTTCACCAAGTCCAGTTCCATTCTGCTCAGTTCAATAGTTTTTATGGAGTTCCTGGGCTAGATGCTGTGGACACAAGATGAATAAGGTAGCCTGACACTCAAGAAGTTTGGTGTATGCCACAGAATAACACCAGGTTAATTCAATTCTCATTTGTCTTTTAGAGTAAACATCTTCAGTGTCTGGTTTTATAATTCAGTCCATATTGGAACTAGAGATTCAATATCAATGATTTCCCTCCCTGCCACCTTAACTTGATCTTACTTGCCAACATCTATTTTCTATCTTACTTGATTAAAAAAAAAATTCTTATTTCTTAAATTGTCCTTACCTGTGCAAAAGTGCCAGTGTGCAATGATGAAACTTGCGTGTGTAACACAATTCTCTCTATCAAGGGTTTTGGACCAGTTATAAACCCTACTCTCAACCTACACAAAAAAGAGAAAAGGAACAACACCAATGCTGTGTTAACAATTAATACAAGTCACTTTACTGATTTCATTAGGAAGAGAGTTGGGGCCTGGGGGCAAATGGGCCTAGACAATTAAAACATTCTAATAAAACTAACTACTTCTTGTTTAAAATACAAATTTAAATTTAAGTGTACATTTAAAATGTAACGCAAGTCTTACCAAGTATTTCTAAATGGGCTCTTTCATATATAAAACCAAAAACCCGACCTGTCCATCTACAACTTGAGATTAACGGCCAAGTTCTTTTGACTACTGGAGACGAATAGAGAGAAAAGGCCTATATTCATATTAACAATTAAACTGGTGTTTTAAGGTAAGTGGAACACAAGCATCTTAAATGAGAGGAATTGTTTGGACTAAAAGATACTGAGGTACAGTCTCTATCTCTTTTAGATCTAGTCTAAGTTAGAGACACAGGGCCTTACCCAGAGGAAAGGACTTTTGAAAAAGAGTCAGCTCTGATGACACGCCCATCAACGTCCATGGAAAGAAAAGTTGGTGTCCAGGACTTGAAATGGAAAAAAAAATACTGTTGCTTTGAGAACTCTGTTAGTGACTGTATAATCACTTCATGTAGAGAATAGAGAGGGCATGGATTCGAATCACAGTAGCACAACCAACTGTTACCTTGATCTTAACTCTTTAAAATGGAGTAAGAAACAGAGATGCACGTTCTTTTATTAGTATCTGCCTGTCTTCATGCCTTGTCTGCCAAAAACACACACAAGGGTTTACTCATTTGCTCAAGACGCCATTATTATGAATTTAGGGAAACCTCAAATAGGCCTTCCTTGCCCCAAGTGTTGAAATCCAGGATTAACAGATAGATTTAGAGGAAGGATTCAAGAAAAACTAATTTGGATAAGATCAAAACAAAGAGGGCCAGTGGCATTCAGGATTGTTTAGAGAGAGAATACTGATCCTTAGAACAACTAGAAAGATAAAAAAAAAGGATGAGAATGAAGATGAGAAATTTAGTTGATGTGAAATATTGACTTCAATACGGACTTCAAAAATAGATGCATACAAGAAAAGGGGGCCGTGGTCATGCTGAGGGTGGGGGTCAGCAGGCAGACATGATACTTGGCCAAACTATATAGAAAAATCAAAAGTTTGTGTTTCTTTCCAATGGATTTAAAGGGGGAACCAAATCCAAATACACATTCTTTGCAGCCCTGAGAGCAAATAAAGATAGGGTTTGATTTTGAGGAATCAGGCAGTGGGAGTCTGTACCACTACTACTGTCTATTAGGAGACAGTGATCATGAAAAGTGGTGTACATGTATAATGAGAAGGAATAAAATAAAAACCCATTATTCTGCAGGTAAGATCCAGGACCTAAAAGACAGGGGTGGCAAATAGGTGGCATGCTGCCGGTAACACCTTGTCCTATATCCATAATGGATATCACTAATTGAGCACAGCTGTCTTTCTCTTTCAGCTTGAACAATGCTTCCAAATCCTTCTCAGACATCATTCCAGGAAGCCACTACCAAGAGACTGAAGTTGACACCCAAGACGAAACCCATTTCTCATCTCTGGTATGATGTTTAAGGAGCTATGAACCAGGATTTGGAGTTGAAGAAGACCATTAACCCTGACTCACTCTGTTTGCACAAATGCATGGTACAGAGAGTCAACTACTATATTAAAGGTAAATAATTTCTGGAAAAAGCAGTAATATCAGAAATGAAAAGTGCTAATTCCAAGATAAAACTGAAAGACTAAAAGTGAAGTGGTAGCAAATTAACAATAATTTACTTAATTTCAGTGTAAAAGTGGAATAACAGCCAGACTAAAATCAAATGCAATACAATTCCTTACAATAATTTATCTTCTAACTGTGAAATACGTTCACATCGTCACTTACCTTGTTGAACTGGATAAAATAATAAGGATCATCTTCTATTATGAGGAAATCATATTTTCTAGCGAGCTAAAAAAAGTTAAAGTAATATATTTATTTCTTAAGCACTATATAAAATTAAAATCATTTGGAATCATAATTCCTTGTACTCATTCATTCAAGAAGCTATTGACTTGAAGTTCTATTGTCTAGACAATGAAGACAAAGAGAAAAACAAGGCACTAAGGCTCTTGTCCTCATGGAACTTACATTCTAGTGGGAAAGACAGAACATGCATAAACCAATGGATAATGAACAGAAATATTAGATGAGGGGATTCTAAGGGCTAGGCAGAACATTAAACAGGGTGATGTTTGAGAGAGAGAGAGTGACAGGGTAGCTATTTCAGTTTCTATCACTGGGAAGCCCTTCCTGACAAGATAACATGAGAGCTCAGAATGACAAGAAGGAGCCAGTCGTGCAAATATCAGGGAAGACGATTCTAGATTGAGGGATAAGCAAGAGCAAAGGCCGTTGGGTGAGAAAAAAACTTGGCATGTTTAAGGGCTAAAAAGAAGGCCAGTGGGGCTGCAGCAAGAGGATGATAAGAGATGATAGATGACCAGGTCACATAGCTTTGCAAGGCAGATAAAGGAATTTGGATTTTATTTTAACTGCAAAGGGGAAGCCACTGGAGGATTATAAACAGGAGGACCATGAGACTGGCTTTACATTTACATTTCAGCAGGAGAAGGACATGTGTAGCTGCTGTGTGACGAATGAATGGTTAGAGATCAAGAGTACAGGGCAGGAGGGGTCCAGTGAGGAAACCGTAGTTGTAGCAGACCAGGGAGGGAAGGGGGTGTCTGAGAAGATGGTGATAGTAATGATAGTGGAGAGAAACGGATGGATTTGGATAAATTTGTTGGTAGAGTTCACGGAATACATGGGATGTAGGGTGTTGGGGGGAGGAGAGAAGGGAAAGAGAGGAATAAAATGTAATTGTTCATAGTGGCAGTATTTATGGAGATGGAGAATGTGAGGGGTTGTGGATTGGAGGTTTGGGATGTGGCTGGATAAAAATCAAGAGTTCTATTTGGCCACGTTAAGTTTGAAATGCCTATTAGACATTTATGTTGGATGTTGGATACAGAAGTTGGACAGAGAAGTTGGATATAGAAGTCTGGAGTTCAGGGGAGAGGCATTTCCATTATCGAGTGGAATTTACAGCCATAGAACTGGATGAGGCTGTCTAGGGGGAGTGTATAAATAAGAAGAGAACTCAGGGCAGAGCCTAGGCGTGTGTGAAAAATAAGATTAAGACAATGTTTTCAATACATATATATACACATATTCAGGAACTATTTGAAATATTTCTTATGATTCCATTGCACGTGATTAAATTCTATGTGGATTAACATGAGTTTGGTACTTATTTTAAAAAGCTATTTTTAGTGAAAGGCTAGGGAACACAGGTACATAAAATGGACTTTACAAAGGCACATTTCTCTTATTTTTCAAAGATTTCTGTATAGCTCAATATGTGTTTGATACTTTTAAAAAATGTTTGTGATGGAAAGCTTAGGCATCGTAGTCAGGTACCTACAAGAGACTTTACAAAAGGAACATGCCTCTTATTTTTAAAGAATTTCTTTGTAACCTGAAATGACAAGGAGTAAGAAAGAGAAGAGACAAATTGAAAATACAACTATAAAATAATTAAAACCAAACTTTGGGTCAAATATTAAATAACCTCATAAAATTTAACATCAGGCCAAGAATGATATTTTCTTGAAAATATCAATTAAAGGGAAAGAAAAATCTCATAGTTAACAAAGGATGTAGTAATTTCTTATGTTTAAATTAAGACCCTTGGCATAGACAACTTCCTTTTATTAAAAATTATCTTCCTTGAAAGCAAGAGGCTAATAAGAAAGGGAACTTGCACAGTACTCTTCTAAAAAGTCAAAGAGAAACAAGAATATAGCCATGTAACACATTTTTTTAAAATACCTCATAGATTTCCTTTTTGCGGTTAGTTGTTAATGAGTTTCCAGTAGGGTTATTGCCATTGGGGACAGTATAAAGAAATTTGGGGGTGTTTTTCTTGGGGTCCTTTGAATCTTCTGGTTTCCATTTGGAAAGTATTTCTCTAAGGCAGTCTGGAATAATCCCATATTCATCACCGGGAACGTTAATAATGTTGCAGCCCAGTGGTTTCAGCTGTGGAGCACACAGAAAAAAAAAAAGCCCAAAGTTCAGACATGATTGCAAAATATAAGTGCCATTGGTTCTTATACTAACTGAGAATCTTATCATTTATACCCTTAAACGTATAAACCTGCACTCAGCTCTGTGCTCCAGAGGGTTGAGGTTGTATATTCTAATTCTATCGTGCCCTGGGGTAGATTCCATTATTGTTCAAAAATATCCCGTCAATTCCCAGAGGAAGGATTATACTTCTGTACTCATGTATGTCAGGCTTGGCCACGTGTGTTGCTCTGGCCAATAAATTGTGAGCAGAAGTGGTGCGTGTTCCTTCCAAATGGCTTTAAAATCCCACTTGTTTTCTCTATTTTTCTTTTGCCTCTGCTTTAAGACTGGCAATGTTTCAGCTAGAGGCTGCTTCTGGCAACTTGGGACTTGGGATGAAGATGACATAGAGAGAGAAATAGGTCTTTGTAGTTGTAAGCCACTGAGATAGTGGGGTCATTCGTTATACAGCATGACCTAGCCTCTTCTGACTAAATTATCTTTAAAATTATAATTAGAACTGGTTCATAAAGTAGGTGTTTATTAATGAATGTTTTTTGACAAAGTAAATCAATCATATAAAGCATGTGTTATGCTAATACATAAAACAGTTGCAAGCAGAGGTGATATTCAAAATATTTAACAAGAGGCATAGCATGGACACATCAGATACGGCAGCAGGCTGGAATGGAGGCCTGGAGGGCCCCTGCCATGATATGGTATTAACTCTGTTTCATGGGAGGTTCAGGGTGGTCCTAAGAGAGAGGATGAGGAAGCCAGGGTGGTGATGGGGCACTGAGGAGGATCAGGGCAGCAGCTCACCAAGCCATGAGGAAGTATTTCAATATTTTACCAATTGCTAAGGCTGAACCAACAAGTAGTGGCCTTGCTTATAGACATAGTTTTATAAAAATCTTGTGGAATCTCATTCATGGATGAACATAAAGAAAAAAAAATTGGAACTTAAGAAATAACAATAATTGAGTGAGGTCCTCAGAAAAAAATTTCAAAGGATAAGCAAACACTCTAACTTTTAGCAGTCAAATGTAGACTTACGCACTAAGTGGGAATAATCCAGACCCTACATATTTAAAAGTTCTTAAACTTAAAAAGCTCATCTATCATGAATTAAACAAATCAGTATTGGCCCATGAAATAGACATATTGCTTATTAGCATATTTCCTCATAGTTTGGCACACGGTTTCTGTTTGCGGATGTGAAAACATTTGTGAGTGTGTGCATGCATGCTGTTTATGTAGACTCTGGTTTTATTTATAGGCATTATGTAATCTTAAGTCTTAGGAGTTTAGGAAAATAGTTAATAATTACTATCCAATCATTAAGAAAAAGCAATTATTTTACTTTAGCTTTTTTACTGTGGTAAATAGATATCTAAAAATAATTTGCCATTTTAGCCATTTTTAAGTGTACAATTCAGTGGCATTAATTACATTTACAATGTGTGTATTCATTGCTATCGATTTCCAAAACATCTTCATCACCCCAAACAGAAACTCTGTACTCATTAAGCGGTAACTCCCCATTCCCCTCTACCCCCAGGCCCTAACCTCTAATCTACTTTCTGTGTCTATGAATTTGCCTATTCTAAATATTTCATATAAGTGGATTAATAAAATATTTGTCCTTTTGTGATTGGATTTTTTGAGTTGGCCTGTTTTCAAGGTTCATCCATGTTGTAGCATATATTATAACTTTGTCTCTTTCTAATGGCTGAATAATATTCTATTGTATGTAAACACCACACTTTTTTAATCCATTCACCCGTTAATGTACACTTGGGTTGCTTCCATCTTTTGGCCATTGTGAATAATGCTGCAATGAACATTTGCGTACAAGTATCTGTTTGAGCTCCAGTTTTCAGTTCTTTTTGGCTATAGCCTAGGAGTGGAATTGATGAGTCACATGGTAATTCCATGTTTAATTTTTTGGGGAACTGACAAACTGTTTTCCACAGTACGTGTGCCATTTTACATTTCAAGGGTTCCAATTTCTCCACATATTCACCAATACTTGCTATTTTACATTTTTGTATAATAGCCATCCTAATAGGTGTGAAGTAGTATCACACCACTTTTTTAATTTGCAATTCTGTTATGATGAATGATGTTGAGCATCTTTTTGTGTGCTTATTGGCCATTTGTATATGTTTTTTGGAGAAATGTCTATTCAAGTCCTTTGTCCATTTTTTAATTAGGTTGTTTGTCTTTTTGTTGTTGAGTTGTAGGAGGTCTTTATATATTATGGATATTAAGCCCTTATTGGACATATGATTTGGAAATATTTTCTCCCATTTTGTAGGTTGTCTTTTCACTTTCTTCATAATGTCCCTTGATGCACTAGTTTTTAATTTTTGATGAAGTCCAATTTACCTATTTTTTTTGTTGTTATTGCTTGTGTTTTTGGTGTCATATCTAAGAATTTAGTGCCAAATCCAAGGTCATGAAGATTTGCCTTTATGTTTTCTTTTAAGAGTTTCTAGTTTTAGCTCTTACATTTAGGTCTTTGATCCATTTTGAGTTAACTTTTTATATGATGTGAGGTAAGGGTCTAATTTCTTTCTTTTGCATGTGGAAATCCAATTGTCCTAGCACTGTTTGTTGAAGAGTCTATTATGCTTTCCCTATTGAACGGTTTTGGTACCCTTCTTCAAGTCAGTTGGCCACAGATGCATGGGTTTATTTCCAACTCTCAATTCTATTCCGTTAGTCCATATGTCTATCCTTATGCCAGTACCACACTGTTTTGAATACTGTAGCTTTGAAGTTGGTTTTGAAATTGGGAAGTGGGAGTCCTCCAACTTTATTCTTCTTTTGCAAGATGGTTTTGGCTATTTGGGCCCCTTCCAATCCGATATGGATTTGAAGACTGGCTTTTCTATTTCTGCAAAAAAGCTATTGGAATTTTGTGTTGAATCTGTAAATTGCTCTGATAGTATTGACATATTAACAGTATTGTTTTCCAGTCCATGAATAGGTGATATCATTCCATTTGTTTGGATCTTCTTTAATTTATTTCAGCAATGTTTTGTAGCTTTTAGTATATAAGTCTTTCACCTCCTGTGTTAGATTTATTCCTAGTATTTTATTCTTTTGGATGCTATTATAAATGGAATTGTTTTCTTAATTTCCTTTTCAGATTTTTCATTGGAAAAAGCAATTTCTATAATATCAATTTTATCCCTATTTAGGAGTGTTGAGAAAATATACCTTTCATTAAGACTAGCTAATTGCTTTATATGTTGATTCTTACCAAGATAATATTAAATTTGAAAAAAAAAAGAGGATCCATGAAGTTAGAATCAATAGAGATCATCTGATTCAATTCTTCTACTCTAAGCTAGAATTACTTTCACAACATTTGTGGTTGGTGGCAGTTGAGAGTAACTTTGAGCACCTGCAATGATGGGCAATGCTCTACCTCCTTAGGGAGTCAGGTAAGGCTGATGGTTAGAAAGTCCTCATACTGAGTTGAAATTGCTTCCCTGTAGTTTCTACCCTTTTGTTCTAATTCTATCCACCTAAGGGAATGGGCAAATAAATCCAATTCCTCTGTTCCATGGCTGACATTTATACATTTGAGGACAATTCTCATGTCTCTGTTGAGTCTTCTCTTTTTGGGGAAAACAGCACAGTTTCCATAACCATTCATCATATGGTGTGGTTTCTCATTCCCTATTCACTCCGATTACTCTTGTCTGATTGTGCTCCAGTTTGTGTATATAACTATCCTAAAGAATTGGGCCCCAAACAAACCTAATTTTCAGTGGTGTGTTCTGACCAGTGCACAGCAGAGCCAGATGATCAGCTTCCTCATTCTGGAGATTATAGTCTCATTAATTTAACACCGGGGTGAAAGTCCTAATTATACTATATTGGTTTACAGTTATATTAAATTGACATATAACATGATTATACTAGGCATATGGTAATAAAAGATGGTAACAAAAAAATAAGTCTCTGTAAACCAAGTCACATTTCAAGTGAAATATTAAGAAAACTGGACATGATTTTGTACAACTTAATTTTAGCACCTATACATCTAGATTTTGTAAAAAGAAATGTATAAAGCAGAGGGTACATTTAACATATTTTGCATATATCATTTAAGATTCTCCTGTTTACAGATGAAAGATGCTATTTTATTTTTCAGTGGACAGGTAATTATAAAGGTACAATGGTTTCTTTTTAGTTATAAGAAAGGGAGTTGCCTTTTGTAAAAATGTATACTCACAGCTTGAAGTGTTCCTGAATAAACAGGTTCATTTAGGAGGATATTATCTCCAGGATTAATGGTCATTTCAAATACCTAACAAAAGAAGCATAGGTTAGCTTGGATAGCATTGTTTTCATTCTTAGAACCCCCTTTTTTTAAGTTTGAGCTCACAAGGATTCTAGAGTAGGAGTTGCCAAATTTTCTGTAAAGTGCCAGATGGGACATATTTTGTGGGCTATAGTACTGCTGTTGCATCTCTTAATGATGGGGATACATTCTGAGAAATGTGTCATTAGGCAATTTTGTCATGTGTGAACATCATAAACTGTAGTTACACAAACCTGGATGGTATAGCCTACTACACACCTAGACCATGTGGTATTAATCTTATGGGACCACTATTGAATATGAGGTCTGTCATTGATGGAAATGGTAGTTATGTGGCACATGACTGTACTCATCTTTGCCTCTACAGTGAGAAAGCAGCTATAGACAATATGTAAACCAATAGATGTGGCTGAGTTCCAATAAAACTCTATTTACAAAATCAGATGAGGGCTGGATTTCGCTCTCAAACCATAGTTTGCCAACCTCTGTTCTAGAGTAAGATGAACAATAACATAACTGGTTTGGCTCCTAAAATTCATTTATTCCTTCTTTGAAAATTTATTAAATATTTACTATAAGCCAGACCTGTGTAAGGTACAGAGATAAAATGATGAGCATAATGACATGGTTCTGACCCTTATGGAGCTACTAGTTCACTGGGAAAGCTAGACACTAATCAAATAATTACTCAAATAAATATATACTTACAAACAGTGATGAATGCTATTAAGTATAGATGCACAATGTTATAAGAGCTCATTGTAGGAGGACTTGGGTGTTCAGGGATTTCAGGACATTCAAGGAAGGCTTCCTTGAGGAAGTGATGAGTTGGTGTAGGGGGTAACAATAGGTACATTTTGAGAAACAGAAAGAATTCTGTGGCTTGAAGCAGAGTGTAAAGAGGAGAGTGGAGTGAGATCAGAAGAAGTGGGCAGAGACTATACGATGTAGGCATTTGGGCCAAGTGAGGCCAGTAAGAATTTTAAGTACGGGGTGGGAAAGGGAGTCACATTATCAGACAAGCATTTTGAGAAGATCATTCTGGCTGCAATGTGAAAGAATAAAAGAGGAGTGAGAATACATGTGGAAAAGTTTGGGAAGTTTTTAGGATTATTTGGGAAGTTTTTGCTGCAGTCCTGGGGACAGATAAGGGAAGTCTGAACATGGTGATGATGAAGAAATTGGAGAGGAGAACTGAGAGGTATTTAGGAAATCAAAACCAACAGAACATAATTATGGACTACGGGGGAGTGAGGAAGAAGAGGTGTCAACTAACTCCTAGATTTCTGGCTATGGAACTAAATAGATGGTGGGAGTGCTGCCGTTCACTGAAAAACAGAACCCAAAAGTTGTCCATTTCTGAGGGAGAAGATGATGAGTGTGTTTTGCTTTGAGGTGCCTTTGAAACATCCTGTGATGGTGTCAGGTGGACAGATGGTTTGGAAGGAGCTGGGAAGTTACTCGCATATCATTGATCACATGGGTGTGAAGGGAGGTACCCAGGGAGAGTACACAGATTAAGGGGAGAAGAGGTTCAAGCACTGAGCCTTGAGGAACTCCAGTAAATAATGGCTGTGTAGAGGAGGACACTGTGAAGGAAGCAGGGCAAGTGGGCCGGAGGAGAGCTGCCCAATATGGTGCTGAGAGACCCAGAGGAGGAGAGTGTTTCAAAAATAATAGGGAGGTCAACAATGTTAAAGGATATTTAGAGGTCAACTAAGACAAAGCTTGACAAATCTTAGGAGATTTTACGGACAATATTATGCCTACTGACATCAAAAGAGGAGACAATAGATTTTTCCAGCCGAAATCAAAGGGGTCTATGATGACTAAATCTTACATAAGTCACAGAATAATCCTTTATTACCTGTGATGTTTCACGATTCCCAGATCAAGCCTCTCCTTCCTATCATTTTCACAACCTACATCTCATGGCAAACAGTATGGCCATTATCGATTGAGATGGAAGATTTGACTTTTGTTTCCTGATTTGCATAGGATGTTCCATTTACCTTTTCCTTATGAGCTTTTGGCATTTTCTGACAAACAGTATCCTCCCCTGAAAAGTTTCTAACTGATTGGGGCTTTACAGGACCTCCTAGGACCAAACAAATTACCTGGGTGGCATGTGCATTATCAATAGACCAACTAAAAACCTAATTACATACATTTTTGATGTCAATTAGGGGATATGAGAATGTCAAATATCCTAAATGAAAAGGGAGGGCTGTTTAGTATCTGGCAGCACTGTTTAATAGCTGTAGACAGAAACACAGGCACCTAAAATATCCACCTTGGAGACCAAAGTAGAAGAAATATTAAATGAAATTCCCACTAATGCCTCTGTAGTAAGCATGTCTATCAGTAAGTGAGTTATTGATGTATTTGGCCATCTATGCTATGTTCCTTCTTTGATATAACTGATGTTGTGACAGATAAAGAAGAAACTGTCTTGAGCATCCTTCTTGAAAAAAAGTTCATGGTATACCTTCCTAAGAAAAGAATTTCATTAAAAAATTTTTTTTCATATTAGTCTATGGAATCACAAATGTTTCTCTTCAAGCAAACACTCAAATGGTAGCTAATCCTTTTATTTTTCCTAATTAAATACAAAAAGAGGAAGGAAAAATTACAAAGATTCTTATTACTTCAATACATTATTCTGAAATAATAATTTAAATTAAATTCATTAAAGCTAACCAGATTACAGCTTTCACAATTACATAAAAAAGAAAAACAAAGCTACTTTGGTTTAAGATAAATAAGAGTCATATTTTAATTTAGATGTGAAGACTGAATATAGAGAATCTTTATCCAGGACTAATTATCCATGAAAAAGAAAAGAAACAAACAGATGAAACTGAGAACCATAGGTGCAGTCTCTTTATTTTGGGGACCCCTGAGTGGTGGTTACACCTGTGGAGTTCCTGGAACCCAGGAGAGAGGCAGATGGAATAATTGAGAGATAAAGAGAGAGAGAACATGAGAACCTAGAGAGAAGTCAGAGATACAGACATATACATAGATATAGAGAAGCAGAGCCAAGAGAGACACAAGGCACAATCAGTGGTGAGCACAGATGATTACATAAGCAGACATGCAAAGGAATTACATTTCATTTCAGGAGTATCAGGATATGCCCTCTAAAGAATTTGAAAATCATATTGAAATTTCATAACTACAGGCATACATCAAAATGTAACCTGAATCTTTGAACAAGATGAAATTAAGCAGTGCTCCCTAAGTGTCTGGTAGGAGTTGAGTACTCCCTTAATGGGAATCTTGTTGTTTTTTTTTTTTTTTTTTTTTTAAAGATTTTATTTATTTGCCCCCCCCAAGCCCCAGTAGATAGTTGTATGTCATAGCTGCACATCCTTCTAGTTGCTGTATGTGGGATGCGGCCTCAGCATGGCCCGAGAAGCGGTGCGCGCCCGGGATCTGAACCCGGGCTGCTAGCAGCGGAGCGCGCGCACTCAACCGCCAAGCCACGGGGCCGGCCCGGGAATCTTGTTTTAATGACTCATAGCTCTGGGTCATTTGACCACATGATCCATGTTTAAGGAAAATCAAGTTGGTGAATGTCTTTAAGTTCCCTGTTTATAATTCTAAGTAAAGACAAGACAGACTACCGGTAACTCACAAAACATGAGCCTCTTGTGGTTAAGCGAGAGATGACTGTATTTGCAAACATATTTGATTCTTAATGTGGGGTACCCTTTCTTTTCAGTCTTACCTTACAAATACCGTCTTGGCAGCCAGATGTGACACATAGGTCCATTTGTCCTTGGCTGGCTGGATAATTGATGGTGGGAGGATTATGCAATTTTATTTGTAATTGCTTCAGCCAGGACAACAGCTCTGGGATTCTAAAGCATAAAATGTATTTTTAAATTTATAGTAGTCAAAATCATAATAGTAGACAGGAATTAAATGGTAGCTTTATACCAGGCACTTTATACATTCAATTAAAAAATCCTTAAATGCTTTTTGCCAATATTAATATCCGTATTTAAAAAACAAGGCAACAGACTTAGAGATTAAGAAATTCACATAAAGTCAATCAGCCAGTGATTAAATAAGCTGAGGTTTGAACCTGTATCTTTCGTATTCCAAAGCCTACACTCTTTCTTTTACACTAGAGCATTTACTGCATGATTGATTCTTTGTTCTCTTTAGGAAAATTTCCATAGGCCGCCTAGAAGTTCAGGCTTAACAAGTTCTTTGTCTTATGTAATCATAATAACATGTATTATATTTCAATGTACTTTTCAATCACAGAACAAAGAAGGCTTTATTTTATTGATTTTTTTGGTGCAGAAGATTAGCCCTGAGCTAACATCTGTTACCAATCCTCCTCTTTTTACTGAAGAAGTTTGGCCCTGGGCTAACATCCGTGTCCATCTTCCTCTATTTTATATGTGGGACGCCTGCCACAGCATGGCTTGATAAGCGGTGCCTAGGTCTGTGCCCGGGATCTGAACCTGCGAACACTGGGCCACTGAAGCAGAGTGCACTAACTTAACCACTACGCCACCAGGCTGGCCCCCAAAGAAGGCTTTAGTAAAGAATAACTTATAAACACTCCATAAATTATCCTTTATCATTGGAAGACCAGCTAAGGAAAGTCTTAAGGTATGTGTTCCAGCTTCCTTTTAAGAAATTAAAGACATCTGAACTGAGGACAAATAGCTGCCTGAAACTATTAAGGGAACATAATTATTAGAAAATTGCCCTGGGACTTAAAATTACTGATTCCTGGATCATCCTTTTCCCCTTTTCTCCTAACCTACTTCTTCACCTAGCTGTCTCATTTTTTCCAGTCTCAGCTCCAATGGTACTTCCTTCTAGGAGGTTTCTCTGACTTGCCCAGTCATTTAAGGTTGAGAAGCAGTTACTAAGGAGTGTGACACATTCAATATCCCTCTTGTTCTTAATTATTCTTTGAAAACTCTTCCCCTAACCTTGCTACCTGTCGAATATGCAGTTACAAAAGACACAATCACTGAGCCTTAGAATATTTCTCATGAAAATGAACCAACTATTGATAACTACCCAGCACTTGCGGAATACTGAAGTGCTCTCTTCATCATCTCTTCATCAAATTGGATGGTCTCGCCATTTTCTACGGTGATAGCAGCGGTCTTAAAAGGAAACATGTTCGGATTTGGTGCTCCAGGAGCCAAGGAGATGACCGATTTGGGCACCTTTCCCAATAGCTCAGCTACAATAAATATGGAAGAGAAGAAGAAATACTTTCGTTGAAGACTTTCAGAAACAGAGATAGTTCAGTATGTTACATTATAGTCAATAAAACTGTCAAGTCTAACAATATCTAGTGATACAATGCTAGTCTAAAATAAACATATAAAATAACTTTTTCTCGACCTACCTCTCTGGTGGAGGAATAAGGAACAGATATGTCCAACTAACAAGGCAGAGTGATCAGGAAGTCAAGCAAAGGACCACAGTAACAGAAACCCTCCTCCATTTAGCCCCTACCTGCCTGTCAAGCTTCATGGCTCACCCCGTCTCTCCCATTTACCAGGCCATCCCCGCTCCATACACCTCTGCGCAGTGTGCCTAACCCCCACTCATCGTCCCAGAAGAGCCTTTCTAGAGAGCACGCCCTCTCTCTTCCATGGATACAACAGCCCGTGCCTCTCTATTGCTGCTCCCACTACAGTCAAGCAGAGATACCCAATTCCCCGCCTTCCGTTCCAGCCCGAGTTCTGTGAGAACAAGGACTATGCCTGGTTTACGTCTGCACGCAGAGCCAGGATCACAGGGAGCTTTCACAATTGAATGAATGAATGCAACCAGGCGGTGAGAGTAGGCGCCGCACTTAGAGGCGCTGGGAGGAAACCCCCAGCCCGGGAAGGGGAGCGCCAGCCCCAGGACTCACACAGGAGTCGGATGGGAGAAGGCTCTCTTGCTGCGCTCGTCGTCGTGAGGAACCGTGAGTAATTCATGTCTCTGATACCCAAGCACCAAGCACCTTCTTCAGTAGTTGAAAACTGGAAAAATCAAACAGCCGCGTCAGGGACTGCCTCCTAAGTCTTGAAAAGCCACCTTAGCTGTCCCCCCGCTGCCCCTGGGTTTCCGCGCGCAGTCCCGGGAGAGCGCCGCTGAAACTCCCGGCCTGGAGGCTGCGCTCGGTCTCTGGATCTTGAACGGGCCTGGCACGCGTAGCAAGACTGGCAAAGTCCAGCCTCAGAGGGAGGGTCCGCGGGCTCTCCCGAGCCCGCGCCCCCTCCCGCCCCGCGCCGCAGCCTATGACCGCGGCCGGGCGCGCCCCCTCGCCCCGGGTCATGGCCCTTTGCACGCGGGGTGGGCGGGGTGAGGGCCGGCCGCGAGGCACTTGCAGCCCTGCGCCGGTGCCAGAAGCAATTAGAAGCGGGGACTCTGGACCTCGCAGCGGGGAGTTGCAGCTAGAAAGCGTCCCGGCTGGCCTAAGCGCTGGCCTTGACTCTTGCCCAGCAGCTAGTGGAGGGGCCCGGAAGTCCTCGCGATCCCAATCCTTGAGTACCATCTGGCGGCTGCTGTAGTCCACTGCAGCCGGCTCCCTAAACCCCATCGAGCCAGGCGCGCCACAGCGCGCTCCTGCGCTGGGGGCTGGCTACCTGGCCTCCTCTGGCGACGCAGGCAGCGCGTTTCCCCCCTCGGATCCGACCACTGCTCTGTCAAGTACTGTCCTTTCATGAATATAACTATAGGCACTATCTTGGGAAGTCACCAAGGCGACCCAGATGAAGCCCAACGTCACTTTCTCCAAGATCTGAGCATTTTAGAGTGAGGGTGGAATGTTGATACAAATTTTTGAAGAAGCACTCTGAGGTCTCTTCAAATTTTAGTGTCTTGCCTCCCCGTGGATTTTCTGACTATTCATTATGGACTTAGGTTGGAAATGTACATCCAAAGAGATTCATCTCTTTGGATCTAGCACCTTGCCCTCTTTTCTTACAGACATGCCCCTCTCCCCCCATTTTTCTCTTGTGATTTCTTCTTGAATCACCAAAATGGAATGCACAGGCCATGTGAGCAGTTAATGAGAGAAAATGTTGAGATAATCTCTCTTTTGTTATTCTTAAGTGAGTATAAAGTGTCATTTATTTTTAACAAGTTCCAAACTGGATTCATTCAGAACATTTATTGAGTACTTCCTGGATGAGTAGTGACACGCTGCCAAATGGCTCTCTTCTAGACATAAATGGATTGGCCAAGGAAACCCTTCTGCTCTTATCTAGGTCCTGACAACAAAAGGATGAGATAACCCAGTGAAATCTTTATGCCAGCAGCTAAGTAACAGAAAGCTGTTAGAAACCCAAGAGGCAATTGAATTCTGGTTCAGAGACTTCAAGTGGTTTAAATCCCACTTGATGATTTACCAGCTGGGTGTCTTGGGAGGAATTACTTAATCTTTCTGTGCATCAGTTTTCTCACAGGGCTGTCAGCAGGATTAAATGAGAGAATCTATGTTAAGCTCATCAGCACAGTGGCCTGCACATTGTAAAAGTCCTTAATAAATGTTAGCCATTATTATGAGTAGTAACAATGCTTTTAGCAAACCTCAAGGACTCAGCCTCCAAATGTTTTTGGCTAGAGAAACTATTTGCTGACTTTTAAGGGAAATTGTGTCCTTAGTTAATTCATGTATGCAATTAAGGATCTTTTTGAGATCGCGTATTTTAAAAAAGGTTACCCCTGAGTGTTTCTAGAAATTAGCTGAAAAAGCTCTGAGTACATCTAAATAAGGTATAGACCAAAGTTAATTATGAAATGTAACTAGAAATATTAATGTTACTGGTGACTTGAGCTTCCTTTTTGGCTCTAATTTGTGTAATTCCCTCAGATACTTAACACAAGCTTAAACTTATTTCCTTTGGTAGTAGAAACCTATTGGTGAAAGGAGTTTGAGTTCTGGCTAAGGAAAACACTAAAGATGAGCCTTTGCAACCACATTCATGCACAGGTTTGTGATTCTTGTAGTAATTACTATATGCAGATATTAAAAATATGCCCAACTAATTTTTTCCCCCTTTCCAATCAGTGGTAACAAAATTCAAGGAACCAAAAACTAAAGAGACTTAAGACCATCAAGTCATAAGATGCAGGTTCTCAACTTTAAACAGCTTCCTGAGTCTTCTATTTGGCCTGCCCTGGAGTTGGATAGGTGAGACGGTTGAGGGTGCTGACTGATTATAAGGTGGGTGATGATTTAGGCCAGGTAGAGAGGCAGAGAAGTGGCCATCAGGGCAGGCTAATGGAATGCAAGAGAGCTGAGAGTTGTGTCTAGAAAATGGCCTTGGTGGTGGGAAAGACACAGGCAAGGGTTAAGTTAGGGAGAGCTTACGTGACAATCAGAAGTTGAAAGGTGAAGATAAAATTGATTGCCAGAGAAATCAAACAGACTGGACTTTGAATTTGTCAGGAGTAACAGCAGAAGGATTTCTCCTGAGGGGATAAGATAAGTGAGCAAGGTTCATGGCTCAGTGCTGCCTTTTTAAAGACTTGGCTTAGGACTGCCAGAAGATAGAATTAAAGAGGACAGATTTTCTGGATTTAAACATTCTCTAAACATTTACTGATTGCTTACTCTGTGCTAGGAACTGTAATAAATTTAACAATATAACTGAGACAAGTCACTGCTCTGGATGAACAAGTATTTGTTTGCTGGGGGTCTTGTAAATCGACGTCCATCGCAGAGGTAGGTACAAGCTGCTGAGGAAAGCAGAGAGAAGGTGGTGGTTGTTTCTCATGGACAGAAGTTCTTCGCTGGGTTAGAAATAGAAGCTTCTTTTCCTCTCATCTTCCTCTTATGGTCTTGGTCAGCTTACAGTCTGAAATCAAACAGAGTCACACACGTAGCTAATTGTTATTCTCTACTACTTTCACTTAAAACTTAGAGGTCACAGTGGGAAAACTTGTTCCTCACTTGACAGATTTATCACAGAGCCTTTTCCATAATCTGTGAAGGAATCAAGCTTCAGAACACCAAATTTGTTCAAAGAAATTTTGCTGATGTTCCTAATTTTCATACTTTGGGGCTAGACTGTTGAGCTGGTTTTGAGAAGTGAATGGAGAAGGAAAATGTGTGTGTTTATTGTGGGGTGGGGTGGGAAAGTATATTATTATCTTTTGTTGTGTGACAAGTTATCCCAAAACTTAGCAGCTGTATTAGTCTGCTGGGGCTGCCATAATAAAATACCACAGACGGAGTGGCTTAAACAGCAGAAATTTATTTTCTCACAGTTCTGGAGGCTAGAAGTCCAAGCTCAAGGTGGCAGCAGTTGGGTCTCTCCCAAGGCCACTCTCCTTGGCTTGAAGATGGCTGCCTTCTCACTGTGTCCTCATGTGGCCTTTTCTCTGTGTGTGGGCATCCCTGGTGTTTCTTCCTTTTCTTATAAGGACACCAGTCATATTGAATTAGGGCCCCATCCTAACAGCCTTGTATAAATTTAATTACCTTTTTAAAGGCTCTATTTCCAAACAAGTCACATTGGGAGTTAGGGCTTCAACATATAAATATTGAGGGAGACACAATTTGGTGCATAACGGCAGTTAAAACATGAAACATTTGTCACATAATTTCTGTGGGTCTGGAATTCAGGAGCATCTTAGCTGCTGGTGCTGGCTGTGGTTGTCTCAAGAAGTGGCAGTTGAGGTAATGATCAGGGCTGCAATCATCTGAAAGCTTGGCTGAGATTGGACGTCTGCTTTCAAAGTGGTTCATTCACATGATGTATTAGTTTCCTAGAGCTGCTGTAAAAAAGTACCAAAAACTGAGTGGCCTAGAACAACAGAAATTTGTTGTCTCACAGTTTTGGAGGCTAGAAGTATAAGATCGAGGTGTTGGCAGGATTGGTTCTTTCTGAGAGCTGTGAGGGGAAGTCTGTTCCATGCCTCTCTCCTAGATTTTGGTGGTTTTCTAGCAATCTTTGACATTTCTTGGCTTGTAGTTGTGTCACCCTGATCTCTACCTTCATCTTCACAGGGAATTCTCCCTGTGTGTGTGTTTCTGTGTCCAAATTTCCCTTTTTCATAAGGATACTAGTCAAATTGGACTAGGGCTTACCTTAATGACTTTATTTTAACTTGATTATCTCTGTAAAGACTCTATCTTCAGATTAAGGTAACACACATTCTTAAGTACTGAGGGTTAAGACTCCAACATATCTCTTTTGGGGAGACACAACTTAACCCATAGCATATGACTGTTGGCAGAAGACCTCTTGATGGTTATTGGTAGGAGACTCAGTTCCTTTCCACTTGTACCTCTCCGTAGAGGTGCTTGAATTTCCTCATGACATGGACAGCTGTCTTCTGTCAGGATGCGTGACCCAAGAGAGAACGGATGAGGTCTTGATGCCTTTTGTGACAGAAATCACACTGCCACTTCTGCCATATTCTCTTCATTAGAAGTGGATCTTTAAGTCCAGTCCACTCTCAAGGGGAAGGGGAATCAGACTCTACCTTTTGAAGGAACGAATATTATATAATTTGGAAATATTTTAAAATACTCAGAAGGGAAGCAGGATTAGGTCAAATTAGAAATATTATCTAGAGCAGTAGAATAAGATTAAGGCAATAGTCAAGTCATAGATATCTTACCTATCATAAATACTAGAGTTAGGCACTGAACACTCAAGGAGAAACTGAATAGTTTGATAGCTAAGGTTATTATTGGGGAAACTAAACAAAGGAGGTGATTATATATAAAAAGAGAAATAATTCTTCTGAGGAAGAAAGTTGTACCAGCAAGGCTGCCTTTTTTTTTTTCTTTTCTTTTTTTTTTTTTTTTTGGTGAGGAAGATTGGCCCTGAGCTAACATCCATTGCCAATTCTCCTCTTTTTGCTTGAGGAAGCATGGCCCTCAGCCACTCTGTGCCAGTCCTCCTGTATTTTGTATGTGGGTTACCACCACAGCATGGCTTGATGAGTGGTGTAGGTCTGAGCCCAGGATCTGAACTCATGAATCCAGGCCGCCAAAGAGGAGTGTGCTGAACTTAACCACTATGCCACTGGGCCAGCCCCAAGGCTGCCTTTTTAATTTCAGATATTGTATTTTTCAGTTCTATAATTGCCATT